ATTATGTCGGTTTTCTACGAAATTGTATATGATGTAATTGAGAAGTGTATCCCTAAATACTGTTTAAAAAAAAGTACCTTTCCATCATGGTTTAATAAAGACTTAATTAATACCATCAAAAAGAAAAAGACCATGCATAAGCTATATAAGGAAACATTAGATGAACATTATTACTATGAATTCTCATCTTTGCGCGAAATTTGTAAATTTAAAAGTAAGACTTGTTATAACAATTTCGTAAAAGGAGCTGAACAGAGTATTAAGTCTGACTCATCGCAATTCTGGAATTTCATTAAAAATAAAAACAACTATTGTCAGGAGCTACCTTACAAAATGACCTGGGACGATAAAGTTGCATATGATAAGTTGGAAATTAGCAATCTGTTTGCGGATTACTTTGGAAATGTCTATAAGTCAAGTCAAAATTCAAATATGCAAAATACATTTACCTCTGAAATCGATGTTAACCTATCTAATATTGAAATTAAATATGATGATCTGCTCAGTACTATGTTAAGTTTAAAAATCAACAAAGGACCTGGACCTGATGGTCTTCCCAATCTGTTTTTAAGAGAATGTGCAGTAAGCCTTTGTGAACCTCTATGTTTTATTTTTAATCGCTGTGTGTCTACTGGGGCATTTCCAATTGACTGGAAACATTCCTTTGTCACTCCAGTTTTCAAATCCGGCAACAAATCATCCATCAGTAACTATCGTCCAATATGCATTCAGTCTGCCATTCCAAAATTACTTGAAAAAATGTTAATTCCAACATTAACTAATTGTTTTAAAAATATTATTGTAACTAATCAGCATGGTTTCTTTGGAGGCAGATCTACGGCTTCGAACATGTTTCCATACGTAAATTTTGTTCTGCAATCTATGAACGATAAAACCGAAGTCCATTCAATATACACTGATTTTTGTAAAGCCTTTGATTTGGTGGATCACGAAATTCTAATAGTAAAATTACATGCCTATGGTATTCGTAGTCCCTTATGTGATTTTTTTAAATCGTACATTACAGGCAGAACCCAGCAAGTGAAAGTAAAGGGGAGTTTGTCCAATCATTATGCAGTTTTCTCTGGAGTACCGCAAGGTTCCCATCTTGCACCAATTTTATTTAGTATCTTTATAAACGATATAGGAAATAATTTTACTAGTCGATACTTATTATTTGCAGACGACTTAAAGATTTACCGGGACATAAAAACTATTTCAGACTCTATGGAACTGCAGAGTGATATTGATCTACTCAATGACTGGTGTGTGGACAATAAACTCAAACTAAACATTAATAAGTGCTCTTTTATTATTTTTATTAGGGGCGAAAGTAAGTTTGATGTAACGTATACTATTAATAACACCAACTTAATCAGAGTGTACACTGTTAAGGATCTTGGAATATCGCTTGACTACAAATTAAATTTTAACAACCATTATGACAATTTAATATCGAAGGCAAACAGGAATTTGGGGTTTATTTTTAGAAATACCAAAGATTTTTTAGACCCGTCCTCAGTAATAACATTATATAACAGCCTAGTAAGATCATCACTAGAGTACTCTTCCATAATCTGGATGCCACATTATGAAACACATAAAAGTAGATTTTTCCAAATTGAGAAAAAGTTTTTAAAATATATGAATTTCTTCCTTAGTAAGAATAACATTCTGTTGAATATGATTGAGACTTCAGAGTATCTAAACTTCCAAAAGTTGGAGCTTAGATGGGATTATCTGGCTGTATGTTTTTTCTACAAACTAATATCGAATCGTATCGATTCACCAGATTGTTTGGCAAATTTCGACTTTCACATTGCTCCAAGACATCTGAGGTCACAATCGTTGCTGCACTTAAGAACATATTCAACTTTTTATGCACAAAATTCCCTGCAAATAGAATTTCCAGAAGTGTGAATGGGTACGACTTGGATTATTTTAGTAATTCCTTAAGTATATTTAAAAACCGTGCTAGAAATGTAATTGTTTTCAAGAATGAATTGTAGACTAGGCTTGGCCTTTGTTATTTTTTTCTCATTATTATTTTGTTAGTTTATGGAATCTATTATTTCTGTATTTTGTATAATTTTTGTATTATCTATTATCTATTCAAATTGTATTTTTTGTTGAATGCCTCTGGCGTTTATGAAATAAATAAATAAATAAATAAATATAATATATATTTTTAATGCAGCAAATGCATAAAGGACAAAAAAACCCAACTTATATTAAATTAAATTTTGTGGTACTTTTTATAGGAGGGCCAATTTTCGCGTGTTTTACAGGGTTTTTTGTTTATCGGCAGAAGTACAAAGATGCAGTTTTTGCATTACATTGCTATGCTACTTTTTTATGAAACTAAAAATGGTATACACCAGTAAACACCAACTAAAAATGGTATAAACCAAAAATGGTATTTGTTCTAGCCCTCTTAGTTTCTGAAATACAGGGCGAAATTGAAACTGTTGCATTTTTCGACTCTCCTCATATCTCCGACATTATAACTTATCGAAAAGGTGAAAATCCAGCTCCATATACCGGGTGCGTCTCAAAAGTGGCTTACCCCTATAAACTTTTTTATTTTTTAGATAAAAAAACGAGGTTTGGTATGGTAGTACATGACATAAATTAGGACTGATTAGCGTATATTCAATTATTTTTGGCCACTTCCTGTTTCACCGGAAATAAATACATTTGATTTTTAAATGGCACCCTGAGTATTTTTTTACTTCATTCGATAGAAAATGACACTCTGGATAGAATGTCATATCATATTATGTTAACTTCTGACATTTTCGCTTAAAACAAAATTGTATTTTAAATTTTAATCTAGAGCGCCATGGCTGTGTTAAAAACACTAATTTTTAATCAATGAGCCTTGGAAAAATAGATTTGATCGTCTAGTGTTTTTAGTGTCTTGCCCTGGCCGGTTAAACAATGCCCAAATCGTATTTTTAATCATAATATCTCAATTTTTTCAAATGAAACAAAGGTGGCTCATTAGCATATTTGAAAAAAGCATTTTTTACAAATAACTTGATACTTGATATCTCGAGTCAAATTGTTGTTAGGAATTGCATGTTACAATCAGGGGGGTGACAGTGAAACAGGAAAATTGGAAACAGTCATTAGTGTCATTCCTGTCATCTCCTGACGACAAGTATGGCCGCCTAGACAAGGACAGCAATGTTTCTCTCTAACTATTGTCTAACTTCACAGTTTAGAATTGACAGATTTCAGAGACAACTTCAGATTTGTTCTAGAACAAATTTCGACGCCATTTTAATTCTCTCCGTTTAGTTTTGTTTTGTAAATTCAATTTGATATTTCGGCAGAAATTTATAAATATAAAAGTAATGAAGCATATAAAATATATATTACATGAAAAGTCCTGGAGAAAAAGACGTTTCTGCAGTACTAGGTATGTCCCATGTATATTAAAAATAGGTAGTAAATAAACACTATTTCTGTAGTTTTTAGATGCAAGAAAATTTTGTTATGTTTATGATCGGCGATTTTTTTGAAAATGGAAACAATTTACAGCAAGGTAAGATCATTTTTTAACTATAGCCAACATGAGTTATCTCCAGTATGTGCGATTTATTGTCAATAATGCAATAAATCTGACTGATACAATCCGATTGTTATCCGACTAAAAGTCTCTTTTTGCTTCTTTTGATTTATTTTATAAACCCGGTCTCTTTGGGAATAATGGACGCTTTTTTTAAACAGTAGGTATATTTGTATTTTATACCTACTGATATTTTTATTGTTAATTTTAGTATAAAAAAAAATTGTTTTCTGTTTTCAGGTTTTTGTATAAGGCTCCCGTTTTCATGTTCCTGCCCCCGTTTTCTGTCCCTGATGGCTGTGAATACGTGTATTTATTTACAAATTACTGTAAGTCATGCTTATACCTTACTAATTTACGTTAAAATTGGATATAATTAAGTAATTGCTGTTGAAATCATTCAATTCTTTATTTTTTATATATATTTAGTCACGTTGTCTCATATTTCAAATAAATATGTTTGAATAAAATTTTGTTTTGTTTTATTTATGATAAGAAAGAGTACAAAATACATTTAAACTGAAAGAGGGCCCGCCATTGAATAACCGGAAGCGGAAATAAATACGAAGCCATCATGTCAACCTGTCAATTGGAAAATTATTCTCCAGACGACAACGAAGGCTTTCGGTGGCGTATCGTGTTTCCACGATTTAACACAGAGTTGACACTTCTTTCTAGTTAATTATTTTAAGGTTACAATTTCAAATAAGCCATATTCGAAAATGTCAAAAGTTGACATACGATATGTCATTCTATTTAGAGTCTATCTATCTATCGAATAAAGTAACAAAATATCGAGAGTGTCATTTAAAAATCAAAAGTTTTAGTCAATTCCGGTGAAACAGGAAGTAACCGAAAACAATTGAATAGGTATGTCAATCAATCCTAATATATGTCATGTACTAATATGCCAAATCTCGATTATTTATTTGAAAAAATAAAAAAGGTCCAGGAGTGAGGTCCAGATTCTTAGTTAAGTATTAATTATACAGCGTTTCAGTAAATACATTTTTTGGTAACACATGGTACATATTTGTTAAAGTTATATTAAAATCAAAAATTAGTATTTTAGCTTCTAAAGTAAAGGAGATTACGTTAAAAGTTACACTAAAGTTAATATTTACTATCGAACTAAAGCTTGCAAACTTAAGAAAAAAAGAAAACATTTGCTTAGAATACGCTTATATTTTTTATAAACATTGGTCTTGCATATTTTAACGGTAAAGGTAAGGTTCGTCGAGCCAAACGTCTCTATTAATGACGTACGCTTTAGTTAATTTTTGTCTTGAACAGTAACAATTCAATTCATTCATATCATATTTATTGAAGTTACGTATATTAATTGAGTACAGATACTATACTATAATGTACGGCAAAAAGTTTTATATACTGGTTGTAGCGATTAACCTCGCAATCTATATTAATATTGTAGCATCGGAAAATATAGAACCAAAACATAATGAGACAATTTTATCGAGACAAAGACGTTATTTGGTTTTTCCTGAGGGTAGTTCGTTTCAAGTGGGTATGTATGCTAACAGCTACCAGGTGTGGTAATGCAATAACAATCTTAACAAACTTTAACAAAAAAAATATATTTATTTAAACATAAAAACTTAGCAATATATTCCATAGGAATTAAGTTTGAACGTAAGAATATGACACCATTATGACACCTTGGTCTTCATGACAAAAAGAGTTGTCAAATTGGTAAAAATTGTATTTTTATTAGGTACCTTATGAATGACTACAATATGTATCAAAAACAATGCTAAACAATTTTTATCTTAACTGGCAATGGAAGTATATTTTTTTTCCTAATAATGTGTGTGTCCTCCACGGTTTCGACGCACTTCTGGCACACCGACTTGGCCTAGACTGAACGAGGCTCCGCATAATCTCTTGAAGAAAAGCGTTCCACTTCTCTCGAAGATTTTCTCCCAAAGTTTGAAGATCTGGTGCTTGTGGACGTCTACTCTTTGTAGTCTTCCCTTTAGTAGGCCCCAAGTGTGCTCAATAGGATTGAGATCAGGGTTATTAGCAGGCCAATCCATATTTGTGATATTGGACTCTTCAAGGTATCGAGTACCTAACTAAATACTTTTGCAGTATGAGGCCTGGCATAATCCTGTTGTAAGATGAAATCTGGACCATGTTGAGCAGCAAATGGTATAACACATGGTTCAAGAATCTCATCTCTGTATCGTTTAGCATTAATTATGCCGTCTAGAAAGACATGCAAGTCCGTAGGCCCATTTAAAGTTATACCTCCCCATACCATAACGGAACCTCTACAAAAATGAATTGCTTCTCTGACTGTTGTGTCCAGATGCCGTTCATTCGCCATTCACCCATCAACATGCCGTTCATTCTGTAAACCTCCGCCTTGGATCATTATGACTTAGTCGAAAACGGGACTCGTCCGTAAAAAAGACGTGCCTCTACTGATCCACGCCCCAGTGAAGATGTTCTTAAGCCAATATCCTCCGTGCCCTACGATGATTAGCAGTTAAATGCGGCACAACAACTGCTCGCATTAACCGGATGTTAACTTCATGCAGCCTATTTTTTATAGTCTTAGTTGAAATTCGAGTTCCTCTGACAATCGTAAGAAGATTTTATAGGTTTCTTGCGGTAAGTGTTCTTTTACGAAAAGCGGCTTGAACAAGATACTGATCTTCCCGCCTCGTTGTCCGCCTTACTCGTTGAGGATATGGTTTGGAGATCACAAAACCATATTCTCTGTGTCGATTCCATAGTCTGGAAATGGCTGATTTTGTAACATGAAAAAGCTGCGACACGTATCGTTGGGACCCACCCTCCTGCAATAAAGTTGTGGCTCTGATGACTTCTTCAATATTTAAACGCCTTCTAACACCGTTTGGTCTTCCCAAAACATCAAAATTTGCCATATTTAACACCGATTTTGACGATCAAGAAGGCAAAATCGCACTAAATAATAAACTTTTTGCATGAAAAAAAAACAAAATTGTTCTGATGATATGCTACTATAAATATACGGAGATCAGTCTATAAACATAGTAAATACAGTTACACATATTGTGATTCTTGATTCGTTTTGATTAGTTTATAACAGTTATTATTTACATCAACAAAACTTATCTATTTAACAGAACTTAAGGGATATAAAGAACCATTATTACCACTTTTCCGTTCAAAATATTCTAATAAGCTTGCGGTTAGTTTTTTACAACGGCTGTTAAGCTGCTTCGGCATCTTGCACTACATAGCTGTGACACTTAACACTACAAGCGGTTCTAAAAAGAACAATTTTTGACTGCGAAGTCTGCTAGTAAAAAATTTAAACTTAAATTATCACAACATAATTATTCATTTAAACCCAAAACTTGTAATACAAAACTAAGTGTCAAAACGAATGAAAATGTCAAGAACTAAGCAGAGCTACCACCTGAATCGCCAGCGGGAAGTTTAAATTCCAGTTAGTCAGTCCGGCGCCGAATATGTCCATTGGTTGGCAAAAATGAATTTAATAATTGTGCCCTTGATGACGTAACTAAAAGTTTATTTGGTATCGCTTACATAATTACACAGTTACAAAGTTGTTGTGTTACAATTTTGTTTTGTAAGTTAGAATAAAAAATTAACATACACCTATAAATAAATAGTCACATTGGAGACTTACATTTAACTGTTTAATTCTCTAGATCCAAACAATTCATTGATTGTTTTTAAACAGTATTCGATTTGACGTACCCGTCAGTTGGAATGGGAAACTTGTTCGTGTTTGGCAACACGGCAGCCATGGCATGGGAACTACCTTCGACTCCAATATTTTTGGATAAAAAGTATCTTAAAAAAGAGGAAGAAAATATGGAAACGACAACTACAGAAAAGCCAATTGAATATGTAGAATATCCAGAAGATGCAGCTCAATACGGTAAGTTCTAAAATTTTTACTTATACTTACTGCCATTATTCGCTGACTAGTATTTGACACGCATCAGAAGATGGTTACGCAAGGCATTTTCTTTCATGAACTTTTCTGTGACTGTAAAGCCAGATACGTGATCTCTCTTCCGCACTCCGGACATTCAAAAATCTCATTACTTTGTTGCCTCTTTACTTTTTGGTTGTCGTTGTTAACTGAGTTTATAATTCTTCTCCATTGCGTTCTATTGTGCGCTGGTTCCTCCCACTGATTCTGCATGCATGCTTATCCCCTTTAAGTTTTTATGGAAAATAATCTTGTACCTTTTGGGTTATCCACCCGGCTTCCTCATACCTCCATAATGCGTGTCTGGGAGTTTTTTGACATGAGAAATTTGATTTTGATGTCAATATGACTTCTACTTGTAGAGGGCGCCACCTACATATTTTTTAACTAGTTTGAAAAGTAATTACTTTTCGTTCTTACCTGTATAAAACTACTGAGTAATTATATATGCATTGGGCGCATTCAGTAAACACACCGGTATTAACCGGTAAAGACCCAAGTAGCATCTATCTGACTTCGAACTAAATCTGACCTGAAGCGACGTCAGACTTTGTGCAAATTTAGGTCGGGTGCTGGTGATACGACCTGTGACGTCGCTTTCCTATTAAAAGCGACGTCGTTGGATCCGAGTCGGTAAATCCAACGATCTGTCGACGTACAAAATAACAACGTACCATTTTTATTAATTTCCCAACGTCGTTCCCACGTTGGCTTGACGACGTACATATACTTGAACTAGCCCGACGTCTACCCGTTGTCCGAATAGGATACGTCTCACTGATAATCCCTAAAGTAACGTCCAATTATATTTTGTTGTATTTTATGTTCATATTTATAACCTAATTTACGTATCTCTATTTACGTCAGTAAATACAACCCATTAAGTAGCATTTGCGACCTAATGAACATCATGAACATAACCTAATAAAAAGTTTTTGTAAACAAACTTAATTTTTTTATTATGCCTAAAAAACACTAAAAAGGCATTTAGACATTCATCTACATTTACAGAAAGAGGTCGAGGCTTTTGCAAAATAATAATAGTAGTAGTGATGTCTTGCCTCCACCCGTAAATGCTTTTTATCCGGAAGAGATGCTGCATTACACTGGTGCATCTTAATTTCATTTTTTAGCTTAGGAAACTAGCAGACCCCATCCTCCTCCGACATGTGAGGTTAGGCTTAAAAAAGTGGCTGCCCATTTTTTTAAGGAGAAAACAAAAACTAAAATATAGTTCCACTAATCACTGATACGCAAAGTGAGGTTACGTGGCGTACGTTGGAATTATATAAGTCATAATATGATTGCCGGTCGTCCGGTTTGATGACTTCGGTCGTGTGAGATGACTAATGTTCGAGACCCTGTCGGAATTGGTATATTGGTAGTTCATATTAAGTCGGACACAGAAATCCGCCATTCTTAACACGTATCCGATTGTTAGCCATTTTAAAATCGTTTTTTGTTTTTAAAATTTATATTCACATTTCGATTTCTAGTAGAATAATATTGATAAGGTTCAGTTTGGGGAGAACCACAGTACAGTTTTATGATTAAACCAGCTAGAAAATTAAAAAAAATATTTTGCGAGTTACTTTTTTATAGATATTTTTATTTCATAAATCTACCTAATTTTGAAGGCGCTCGTTGTTTTCCGGAGTATTTTAGTCAGATATATCAAGAAAGTGACTTCCGTTGACAAAACTGATGTCTGGATTAATGATTCAGAATTATTATAATATGAAATTAGATAGGCACTTATAGTTCTATTCGAGGAGTGATTATGAATCCATTTGTAATTAGGTGGTTTGGTTAGGTTTTTATGTATTCTTGGTAGCGAATATGAAACCAAACGTAACGTAAGTGCTTAGCGACGAATTTTAAGTGACTAAAATCCAACGTAATATGACGTTGGTAATTGGTAGAATTACATTCCCTATTAGGTCAGATACCGACGTCGAGGCGACCCGAATCTGTATTCTCCATTTAGGTGCAAATAAGGGTCGTCAGGCGGTCGAACCGACGTTGGTACCCGACGTCGGGTTTATTGAACGCGACGTATACCCGACGTTAGATAACATCCAAATGCTACTTGGGGACCTATCGATAACTTTTTATTGAACGATTAAATTACCGGTATGTAAATAAACCGGAAACAAAATACGGTAGGCTCTCAAGTGATCGGTGACCACAACCGGTGAGTTACCATTGGCATTCACTTTAATTTTCTGCACCGGTGGAGTAACCGGTGTGCTTACTGAACGCGCCCATTTACAATGTTTTTTACATATAAATGGTCTCTTGGTAAAAATCGCTACAAGTAATGGTTCCCGAGATATTTGGAATCGAAATTTTCAATACCTGTCGTCATTGACATAAATTAAACATATTGAATAAATAGTTATTAGACTGAAATAAAAAATGTGAAATGTTTTTTGTGCCAAAAGTTCAACAGAAACTGTTTTATCGTCATTTTTCCGAAGAAAAATTTATGATTTATTTAAAATATAAAAAGTTCCCAAATTTGTTATTTCAGTCAAATAACTATCTACTCAGTGTACTCAACATGTTTTTTGGGCAAATATCTTGGGAACGGTTGCTCGCAGCGATTTTTACCAAGAGCCATTTTTTAGGTAAAAAATTACGGAAATGTATATTTTTTTTACTCAGTAGTTTTTGTACAGGTACGTACAAAAATGTATTACTCTTCAAAACAATTAACACACATGCAGGTGGCGCCCCCTACAAATAGGAGTTATATTGACATCAAATTAAAATTTCTCATGTCAAAAAACTTCCAGACACCAATTTTCATCCACATATCGACGTTACTTCAGAAATTATTTGGAAAAAATCGAAATAAATATAAAACTTCTTCACCCTGTATCTCCAAAACTAACCATTTTAGGACATACATTTATACGAAGTTATTTTTATTTTATTTATTTCTATCTGCAGAATATGCTGCCCAAGTTTCCGGAGTACAGTTCGGACCACCTTGTATTGTATATATTGAATATTCAATTGTATATGAAACATGAAACTATGACGTTCTACTACATTGTTATAATAGCTGTTTGCTGATATTGTGTATTTCTACAGTGCTTCTTTTGAAAACAGTTTCTATGTTGGTTTTTATTTTTTCTCGTAGAATAAAAGTAAGAAATGCGTTTTCAAACATACTTGACTTGTCTATCTCTTAATGAACAAAACTAAACTCTCTTTGTTCAAACTCTGTGTTAACTCAAATCTGTATAGTGATGTTTTCTACATGAGCTCGACTGATCTTGGAGAAATGTTTGAAATAAAATAATCGATAACTCGCTACGCCTTGATCTTATTTTGCAGGTTTGCAGTCTTGGCACGCCCCATTATTATCGCACGACTCATTAAGTCCTCCGCAATCAACAGGATGGCAGAGTAAAATATCCTTAGAGCCCGAGTTTGAACCGATGCAAATAAATAGGGCTCCTGTTAATTCGTATTTCAACCCTTTCGACGAATACGTTCAACCGAGTTGGGGAAAGAGTTTTCCCGATGAGCGTAGGCGTTACGAAGATTCGCAGCGAAGAGGGCCGGATAATATTTGGACAAGTTTTGAAAATCGAAGGTAATATTAAAAGACAAGTAACTAAACTATTTATTGTAAATATGAGAATATCGATGACATATACAGGGTATCCCAATATTCCATGATTAGAATGGTCACTAACGGAATTAGTACTGGGAGAATTGTCAGATCAGGGACTTGGAACACCCTCAAAAAGGAAATACCACTCCTGCAACTCCCAGTGGATGATATGCCAAGAACGTACAACTTTGACAAACATGTCAATGTAGTATTGAGCAATAAGAAGGATTGGAAGAGAAGCAATGAGAAGCAATGAAAAAGCAAATAATCTAGCTAGAAAAGGAGCGAACACTCCACTAACTGGACCAGAACCGTTCTGCTTTCCAAGTGGTAACCAACTCAAGGCGGAACTCAAGAACTTGGAAGATTCCATCCGCAACCTGGAATGGAAATCTTGCAATGGTCTAAGACACTCGAAGAAGTTTCTGAGGGCTTATGATCAAGAAAAAACACAGATCTTCCTGGGTCTGAGTAAGAACAATCTTCGGATTGTCACGGGGTTTTTAACAGGACACTCTCTCCTCAATGAACACCTCAGTAGATTGAAACTAAGAAGAAACGGCGAATGCAGATTCTGTGGGAAAGATGAGGAAACACCAGTACACCTCATCACTGAGTGCGCCGAGACGACAACCATTCGTGCCATGAATTTTGGTACGACTGATATTGGAGATGGAGAACTACCCTCTATAAAACCGTCCCAGATACTGGCTTTTGTCAAAGCCCTGGGACTGTATGATGAGTTATGATTCAAGAAAGGGGGACACAATGGATCTGTAAGGTCGAAGTGATTAACCCCCCTCCCACTCATTCTAAATTCTAAATTCTAAATATGAGAATATCGATGACATATACAGGGTGTCCCAATATTCCGTGGACATGAAACTACTACTATTTTTGTCAGCTTTGGAAAAACATTTGTTTCCTCAAAAAGTATGCATGGTGGCGTTTTTTTATAATAATAATAGCTCTCGTATATAGCGTTTAACGCCTTGGGAGTAGCAAGGTACAGCTTGATATACTAGAGCCGTTCGGTATACAAGGAAGGTAATGTGGCTAGCACTACGCTTCAACCGCCTATTATTACGTCAGGATTGTGAATCCCAAGTACTCATTTAAGGCTGAGTCGACCTAGGTACCCCAACTATTTTTATTTTAATAAAAATAGTCGGCTGATGAAATGCCGGGTGTGGGAATCGAACCCACACCTTGAGATTGGTAGACAAGAGCCTATACCTCTACGCCACCGGGCACCTTTTTTTACAAGAGACAAAAAATGTAGTAAATACTAGCGGGACCATTTCACGAAAAGAAAATCTGTTTGGTTTGGTGGAGTTGGAAAATTGTTTACACTAAATTTATGTAGGAGTGAGGGTATTTTTCACCCTTCCCGTACATTTTCATGATTTTTGTGAAAGTCAAATAGTCACCCAAAATCTCAAATTCAAATCGGAGTAACGGTTCTTAAAATATCTTAAAAAAAGTGTTTATTTTTTTAAAGTTTGATGCCCTCTATCGGATAAACGAAGCACTTTTGTATAGAGGTAAATTGTGCCCAATGAACTTATTTTGATTCCAAAAACACGTAGTAGTTCTATGTCCAGGGAATATTGGGACACCCTGAATATATAGGCTAGCTCCTAAAATTGAGCAAAACTAAATTTGGATTTGCCTATACAGGGTGTCCCAGAAATAAGTGGAAGTATTTTAACTGGTAGTATAGTTCAACCCCAGAAACCCGCCTATGAAGTTTTTTTCGCGAAAATTTTTTGAAATTTTTTTTGGAAATTTTTTTAGTTTTTAGTTAAAAACATAATTTCTTGATAAAATGGCAACATAGGTAGTAGATTAAATTTAAAAGAAATAAAATCCAGAAAAGATCCAGTGGTTCTCAAAATTTTAGCAAAAAGTAATTTTTTTGGAAATTTTCAAAGTAAAATAACTCCGTTATTTTCGACCACCTATCGAGATCTACCACCCCTTAAAATACTTGCACTTATTTCTGGGACACTCTGTATAGTCGTGGTCTATAACTAGGCAAAGTATAGTCGTCGCACTCACCATAGTTTCATAGAGATATATTTAGGAAAATATGAGTTCACAATAAAATAAAATAAAAAAATTGATCATCGAGTAAAAATTTGCTTGAAAACAGAATATTTTCACATTTCGTGTAAGTAACAATTAATTCTTCTTTATCTGAAAATCTTCTGATGGGAAGAAATGCGGAAAAATATATAATGACAAATTTTTATATTATTATCTAATTCAGAGATTTTCTACAACTTTTTTTGAATTTAAAACAAGTTTACTTTTAGCATTAATGTGTTGGTTTTGTAGTAATATATTGGTTAGGTGATTCTCATTGGATAACTAATACATTGAACAACACATTGTACTAAATAATAAAATAACATATTTAAACTTCAATAAAATTGCTAATTATAGAAATTTCGAAAGAGAAAAAAAGCAAGAGCAATGAAAAATAGCATCACTACTTTCTCATGTAATAAAAGAATAATTATTTAGTTATTGTTATACCGAGTCCCGAAGGTACCGAAAGAACCGGAAATTAATAATTTCGAGTCCTGGTTCTTTGATATCTCAAAAGAACCGGGAATTTCCGGTTCTGAACCCTAGTTACCTTATCAAGAAATTATGTTTTTTAACTAAAAACTAAAAAAAAATCCAGTTTTTTTTAAGAAAAAAAAATTGCGCAGAAAAATCCTTATATTTCTGGGATCAAAATATATACCCCTAAAAATATTTACCCCTAAAAATATTTGCACTTATTTAAGACTCACCCTGTATAGGGCGATTCATGGTTATGGTACGTTATAGCGTTTTCGGAACAGGAGCTATTTTTCGGAACCGATAATTTCGGTACCATGCCTCTAAGGAACCGGGATTTCCAGTTTTTTCCGGTACTAGCAAATTTTTGTTCAATGACGGTGCAGTTCGTTGAACAGCATGCAAGGGATGGTTGTCAAAAGTAAAATCGATAAAAAATTAAGGTTTAAATGAAAATAATATCAAAACATAGACATACATTAACTCATTTTTTGTCAATCCGTCTCTGTGCTGGGACGCAGCGCTCGAACCTCGCAAGTCGACGGACGGAACTCAACTGAAACGCTCTGCAATCTGCCGATATTCGATAGATTGTAAAAACTGGCAGAAAATATTTGGGAGAGTGCAACTACTCTTACTATTATTGTACCACTAATTCTAATTAGCATTTTTTATTAAATATATTCTAATATTTTATGAAATAATGATATTTACTAATTACTTTACTAATTTCAATATAACTTTGTCTGACTTATTAACCGTTGCGTTGTATTATTATTAAGTTAAACCTAAAAATTCCTCGATTTAATCTATTCAAATACTGATATATTTTACATTTAATCTGAAATTTTGTTCTTCCATTTCTAAAAATATCTCTAATATATCCTTTGAATTGCAACCTTTCTACAGACATTCTCCTTTTTCTCTACTTACCTTTCCTTTTGGAAAGCCCTATATGGAATCCTCGCATAGCTATAATGTGTTTCAATTTGATTTTCAGATTTCCCATCCAAAGGAAACCTATAATGGATAGAGACAATATGCAATTCAGAAAATCTGTGTTCCACCACGTCCATAGGAGGAGTCGAAGAGAATTATATACGAAGATTGAAAAATTTTTGGACGCGTAAGCTTTCTTTCTTTTTCCCCTTACTTATATTGTAGTTATATCTTAAAATATACATTTTTCATATATTATAATAATTTTACATTTCTCGTGTTAAAAGAAAGCTAAAAAATTGAGATTGTCACTATCGACTATACCAGGTGATAAAAAATCGCTTAATTAAGTCGAATATAAACTATATTTAATACCAATTAAATTTTTAGTTACATAATCGAGGGCGCGATTTTTAAATTCATTGTTGTACTTTAGCTTAAAAAATTTTTAAGCTAAAGTAATTTAGAATTTTTTAGAAATATGTATGTCTATTCAACATAAAAACAAGCAAAAGATTCTACAAATTCACTTAACGTTTCTTTCTGACAAACAATTTTTTTTTTAAAATACCAAAAAATTCGAAAAGATATAATCGAAAAATGGTCAATAGTAATAATAAACTTAAGTTTCAGGAATTTAAGTAATTAAATTACATAATTATAATTAATATTTTTAGATTAACAAAAAATGGAAAAATCTGCATACTAAAAGCTATATGTCAGGTAACTAAATCGGAAGGAAAAGGAACTATGGTTCAAGAAATAATTAAAGCAATTTTTAAGTAAGTTAAAATATTTTAAAATAATAATTGCCTATCTTATTATACATAATATTTATGGTTAACTTTTTCTTGGTATTTGGTATATTTTTAATAATACAATGGAATTAGAATTATAACTTAATATTTTAGTTGTGTTCCAAAGTTTCGATCACATTTTGATCTTTCGCAAGGAACTACATTGAAAAAAATACACACATGGCCAAAATTCTTGCATAGGTATATCGTTTAAAAATACACGGAAGGGAATTTAAAGAATCTTTTTTATACATAGCTTTGATAATCTGTAATAAACATTTTTTTGATAAAATGGATATGGTAAACAATGTTTATCGTTCAAACTCAATATTATTACAAATTCTTGCACATTTCGATTTGTGGTTTCTTGGGTTTCAGAAGAAATTTGACCATTGTTTTGGCCTTAAAGTGCTTAGAAACATTATTTCACAGTTTAATAGAGTCAGAATAGTAACACTGTCTCAACAGGGCTACCGTCAAGTTGCAATAGCAGAAATTGTAGGAGTTAATCAAAGTGATGTTTCGTGAATATTAGAAAAAATCAGGGAAACAAACGAGGTTACAGACCGGCCTGGAAGAGGTAGAAAGAGAGTTACAATTGCTGTGCAAGACCATCAAATATCCCTAATTGCACGACGCAATCCCCTGCTTTCTAGTACTGCTATTAAAAATGAGTTAGCTCGCCCTTAAAGGAGTAAATGTTTCAAGAAAGACCATAGCAAGAAGAGACTCCATGACAGAGGATTACATTTAAGGAAGCCTCTACGTGTTCCAAAGTTTAACTTACAGCACAAAATTACGCGACTACAATGGGCTGAGGAGATGAAAGCGAATGGACCTAATTGGAATTTCGTCATGTTTAGTGATGAATCAAGAATAGGCCTAGTGTCAGACTCGCGACGAACTTTGATCTGGAGAGCATCTGAAAGACGAGCACGCTTGAATGCAGCTGAACCCCGTGTCCCGTTTCAAGGGAGAAGCTTTATATTATGGGCAGGTATAATACACGGAGCTCAAACTCCCCTTGTTTTTATTGATGGCAGAATGACAGGTGTCTCATATCTTAGAGACGTTTTAGAGCCAATTGTGCGTCCATTTCGAGGGGCAGTGGGGGATGAATTGGTTTACATGGACGATTAATGCTCCTCCCCATCGCACTATAGCGGTTCGCGAATTTTGTGATGAAGAGGGTATAAGAAAACTGTGGTGGCCACCGATGTCTCTAGATATGAATGTGATCGAGCATGCTTGGGACATGCCAAAAACGCCATATTGCCAAAAGGAATGATCCCCCCCCCGTACCTTAAATTAATTGATAATTGCTGCGCGCGAAACATGGGAAACCATTCCTCAACATCTTCTGGACAACTTAATTGAGAGCATGCCACGTCGTCTCACAGCTTGCATTGAGGCTCGAGGAGGCAATATAGACTATTAGTATATATATATAAGAAACAATTAAAATTATTTTCAATATTTCTGTTTAAAATAAAATTTATTTTTGTTGATTTTCACTCATTATATGAAATAAAATTATAATAACAGCCTAGTTGCACTTGATTTTTAATTTTATATTCTTCTCTTCTTCTCAGCCATTACTCATCCACTGCAGAATGTAGGCCTCTCTCAGTTTCTTCCACTCGTTTCGATTCTATGCTCTCCTCATCCAGTTCTTACCGGCTACGGTTTGGATATCATCAGTCCATCTTTTAGGAGGGCGGCCGACTGGGCGTTTTGCTAGGCGTGGCCTCCAACAAAGAAGTCTTTTTGCCTATCTTTCCTCGGACTGTCTGGTCAAGTGTCCTGCCCAAGACCATTTAGAGTTAGCTATCCTCTCTATCTCCGTCCGTTATCCTCGTCTGTCGGCGAATGTCTTCATTTCTAATGTGGTCGCGAAGACTGATACCCATCATGGCTCTTTCCATAGCTCTTTGGCTCACTCGCAACCTGTTCACACTTCGTGCCGTCATCGTCATAGTCTCCAAACCATAGGTCATGACAGGCAAGACGCATTTGTTGTAAACGTCTCTTTTTAGGCTATTTGGGGTTTTGCTTTTGAATATAAAGTTAAGTTTACCAAAAGCTGCCCATCCGAGTTTGATCCTTCTAGAAATTTCGGTTGTTTCATTTTCCTTGCCGAGTTTTATGGCATGACCTAGATATATATACTCTTTAACGTTCTCAATCCTTTGTCCATTAACAATAACTTGCTCTTCATTTTCATTTAGGGTTTTAGTTTTAGACAAATTCATTTTTAAACCTACTTGCGCAGATCTGTGGTGAAGTTGTTCGAGCATTGTTTGAAGTTCTTCGAACGATGAGGCCAGGACAACGACATCATCAGCGAAGCGCAAGTGGTTAAGCATTTTATATTAGTTAGTCGTATTATATTAGTTAGTCGTAAGCCAATATGTCCAAAAATATAAAAAGAATCATATTAGGTCCAAAATAAAATTAAAATATCGTTATATGCAATAATTTTTGCCATGTGTGTTATCTACGTTATACATAATATTACAGTTTCGTTTCAAAAGTGGCTTACCCCCTATAACTTTTTTATTTTTTCAGATAAAAAACGAGATTCTGGTATGTTAGTATATGAGATAAATTAGGATTGATTGACGTATTTGTTCACTGACGTCCTCTTCCCGGTTTCTTCTTCCACACTTTGTTCATTGACGTCCTCTTTCACCGGTAATGACAACAACTTTTGATTTTTAAATTATATTCTCGACATTTTTTTACTTGAGTTGATAGAAAATGGCACTCTGAATAGAATGGTTTGTCAACTATATCATATGTCAACTTTTGAATTTTTTTTTAATTTCAAATTTGAAATTGTAACATGCGGTTCATAACGACCATTTGACTCAAAATACCAAGTGTGTGGTACCAAATTATTCGTAAAAAAATCTTTTTCCAAATATGCTAATGAGCCACCCTTGTTCCATTTAAAAAAATTTGGGATATGATTAAAAATGCGATTTGGGCATCTTTTAATCGGCCAGGATAAGACACGAAAAACATTAGATGATCAAATCTATTTTTTCAAGGCTCCTTGATTAAAAATTAATGTTTTTAACACGGCCATGGCACTCTATATTGAAATTTAAAATTTCAATGTAGTCATGTAATAGTAATTTCCGTTGAGACAGGAAGTGAACAAAACTAATTGAATACGTCGATGAATTCTAATTTATGCTATACAGAAAGAAGTTATAGAGGCGGTGAGCCACTTTCGAGGCGCACCCGGTATATACTATATCTACATCCCATTTTTCGTATACGTCTAACATTACGCACATTTACAATAAATATACTTACTGAAAGAAATTTGTTCTAACAATACGCTGTATAAACAGTCTATGTTGGATTATTATTAGCTGAGCTAACTAATCTGTTTACTTAGGGTAAAACCTCATGATTTATATCCAGACGAAGACCACTATGATCAAGCTGCCAACCTAAATCACAATTGTGATGAATTATATCCAGAATGTGAAGGCCACGTTCTTAGTAACCTGTTCAAAAATGTCGGCAAATAATAAATATATCAAAAACGTAACATGTGTTTTATTATATTGTTTAAATTAGAATTAAATAAATTACTAACTTATAGACTATTAAAGTAAATATAGTACGTAAGATTTAGCATAAGAGCATGGTATATCTGCATTCTTTTCGGCTTAATGAATCTGTCATAAAAAATCTATATTTGGAAAAATAATACCATAACCAGATTTCAAAAATCACTCGGTATAAATTACGAAATTATGGTATTGTTTGGATAGAAACCTTATGACAAATCCCTCTGACACTGAAAACAATACACCGCATTCTACTTAGAAAAACTATGGATTTGGTATAAAATTATAACTGTAGGAACCTGTTGCCCCCCTCATACCAAGTAACTATTGTTTGTAATTTATGTTGCAAAAATTCAAGATTTGAAATAAAAAAAATGATATGTTATAATTACAGAAGATATTTCAGAATCGAACAAAAATCCCACCAAAGTAAAATCAGATACAGCATTAGGTACTTAATAGGGTCGTTGATTGGGTGTGTATAAACAGAAATAACTCTAACTAATAAATTATATACTTTTTAATATAATAACGAATTAATACATGTATTTATTTATATTCATAAATCTTGAAAATTGTTGAATCGGACCAACAGGACATTCGGGGAAAAGGTATTCGCAATTTTCTCCATCCTTCCCTAGCTTTTCTGCAGCGTGATAGGCATTGTGGGCATGCTGTTCTATTTCATCGTCAGTAGAGGAAGGTCTAAATAAAAAGAAGAAAAGCAAGGTAATTTTTTTTCGAAATTACAGGTTACAAGTATATTTATTCAGGGTTAGTTTTAAATAAGTGCAAATATTTTTAGGGCTGGTAGATCCAAATGGTAGATCTTGATAAAAGAAACGTATTTTCTCTTTACCATTTAAAAATAAATCTAAAATAACCGAGATATTTTATTTTGAAAATCTCCAAAAAAATGATTATTTTGCTAAAATTTTGAGAACCATTGGATCTTTTCCGGATTTTCTTTAAAAAACAATCAACATTTGATTTCTAACTACAATTTCTCTTGATGGATCAAAGACGAAAATTACATTCCTCGCAAATTTGAATTATTGAAGTATAATTAGTAGAAATGTTAAAAGTTTGTTAACTTTTTCTATACTAAATTGAAAATGACTACCACTAATTTTGGCGTTCTGAATGCTTACACATTGAAATTAAAGGAACAAACTTCTAATTGAACCAATAATTTAGGCCACTAATTTTGAGGTTCTGAATTAAGCTTAAGTCAACATTATGGACTATTAATAATTAATTTCTTACGTTAATATACTGTGGACAATCTCCGCCAAAAGCCCAGATCTTTCTTCTAAAGGAACAGCAGCAAGTTCACAAATTGATTTCAAAAGACAAGCTTTACCATCTCCGTATTTATTCCTAAAAATATTAATCCAGATAAAAACATACTAAACAAAACACTATACGTTTAATTTACTTTTGTAAATAGCTCTCTATCATGTCGTATATCGTCCATCTGGTAGGTGATCGTTTCTTCCTTTCAAAATCGATAGTTGGATTAGTATAGTAACTGCTGTTGTTTGGTAATTGATAATAAGCTTTCATGACCATTCCTAGCGTTATACTTTGGTACTGGATATCTACTGGAATACCTATACCGAAAATTACCTAAAACACAATTGTGACATTTTAATAGCATATAAATTAAAATGGCTGAATAAATTAATAATAATAATAGCTCCCGTATATAGCGTTTGACGCCTTGGGAGTATCAAGGTACAGCTTGCCATGCTAGAGCCGTTCTGTATACAAGGAAGGTAATGTGGCTAGCACTACGCTTCAACCGCCTATTATTACCTCAGGATAGTGAATCCCAAGTACTCATTTAAGGCTGAGTCGACCTAGGTACCCAAACTATTTTTATTTTAATAAAAATACTCGGCTGATGAAATGCCGGATGTAGGATTCGAACCCACTACCTTGAGATTGGTAGACGAGAGGCTGTACCTCTACGCCACCGGATACCTTTGCTGAATAAATTCCATGCAGTAATAGTGAGATCCCTTTTAAAGAGAAGCTATAATTCATATCAATTAAACTTTTAGATACGTAATCGAGAGTGTACTTTTTAAATTCATTTTTGCCAACAATGGATATATTCGGCGCCGTGCTGACTAACTCGAATTTAAATTTCGCGCTGCTGTAAAAAATGTCAATTTGCAGCATTTATTTATTCATTTCCTGACATTGTCATTCTTTTAGACACATAGCTTTTAGACATAGCTTTGTATTACGAGTTTTTGGTTTAAATAAATAGTGTTATATAGTGTGAAATTTTAAGCTTAAAAATGTTTATTAGAATACCTTGCAGTCGAAACATTGTTCTTTTTAGAACCTGATTTAGTGCGAAGTATTCAAGACAGTACAGTCAATCTGGCACCTTTAAAAGCTTAAATTCGAAAATTCGTATCCCCCCACCCCACCGTTTTTGAGAAACTCAAAAAAATTTTGGATTCGATTTTCTGGCTGAACCATAGGTCCCACATAAAATGTTATGGAATATATGAAAAATGAAGATAATTAAATTCCTCTACATTTTCATCCCTAAGTAACAAACCTCAAAAATCTACGGGGACAAAGTTAGAGGGCGCCAAAGTCACCCAAACGAAGTTTTTTGCAGTTTTCCGGGTGAAACCTTTTTTTTGCTGTCAAAAAGTTTTTAAAATTAAAGAACATAAAAACCTACCAAATTGATACGTAACTATTTTTTTACGTTTCACTGTTTACGAGATACTCGTATAAAGTTGCCACTGTTGCGGGCTGCTGCGCGAGCATTCTAGGACGCAGCTGCCGCTTGGCCTATTGTCATGTTCCTCCAGTGTTGCCAGAATTGAAGGATTTCTTTCAATATGAAGGATTTTACAGTTAAATTTCGTCGATTGAAGAGCTAAAGGATTTTTATCAAAAAAGAAGACAATACGAAGGATTCAGGCAGTTTTGCACACTATTTCCCCATTCGTTCTCCTAGTCAACTGTATTTTCATGTTTTTTTTTTAATTTTCTCTAAAACGGTATGGAAGTTTGGAAAACTATAAACGGAATTAACCATTTTAAAACAAACAAAACTTTTTATGAAGAATGCATTTTTCAACAAGTATCAATAATAAAAAGGTTTTTCCTCTTGTAAAGACAAAATCCGGTGACATACTGTATAACAAATATAGAACTCAATATCTTCCTTTATTAATATATATCTAAAAAAGGACCTCAATTAAAACGACCCCTCTTAATGATATTAATATACAGGGTGTCCCAGAAATAAGTGCAAGTAACTGGTAGTATAGATCAACTCCAAAAACACGCCTGAGGGGTTTTTCGCGAAAAAAAAAAATTAAAAATTCGAAATTTTTTGAAACAATTTTTTGAAACTTTTAGTTTTTAGTTAAAAAACATACTTTCTTGATAATATGGCAACATAGGTATTAGATTAAATTTACAAGAAAGAAAATCCAGAAGAGATCCAGTTTCTCAAAATTTTAGCAAAAAATATTTTTTTTGGAAATTTTTAAAGCAATATAACTCCGTTATTTTGGACTTATTTGATAAACGATACAGAGAAAATATGTTTCTTTTGTCGAGATCTACCTGGGACACCCTGTATTATTTACCTTTGATTAAAAAAACAGAATATAATCTGATCTTTTTTAATTAAATAAACATTTACCATTACGAATTATTACAAGAAAACGCTGACGACTGACACATTAACTTGGGTTCAAGTATGTTTATTTAGGACAGCCAAGGGTTGTAAAATATATTTGAATATAATTATAATTAATTTACCTTTTGAACTAACATCAATTCTAACACTGATCCAGTTTCATTAAGCAAATATAATATTAAATAATTAACCCTGTATGAGCTAGGTAATGTAATTATGTAAATGATTAAATTAAATCGACTGTCCTAGAGTAGAACTACGATCAAAGTTTAAAAGCCTGTTTCATCTGTGGTTTCATAAAATACGAGAATAGGGTATTTTAGTGGTAGAACATTTCAATCAAGTCAAATTAAGTTCCCGACATGCATCAATATTCAAACACTTAAAACGTTTGCTGGTCTGAGATTAGACTGTTATTTTATAAAACTTTTGTACAGGGTGGCGCCCCTCATACGACGCTGAGGCTCCAAGGAGAACGACAGTTTGTATTGAAATAAAATTTTGTGAGGACATGTAGGTTAATTCAGAGCATTTTTTAAAAATATAGAGAGTTCTACAGGGTGTCCCCAAAAAAGTTACATATCAAAGTTGTGTATTTTGTAATGGATCATCCTATAAATTAATTGATTTCCGGATTCTGGGAGAAAAATGAATATGAGTTTTATTACAGAAGTATATGACTAAAATGTAAGGTTTTTGACATATTTAACATTTTCTAAAAGTAAAGAACAATTATTTTTAAATTACAACAAAAGCTACCTAAATTGGAATTTACTCGGTATAGTATAATATGTAGTTAAAATAACTATATATTGTACTTTAAATCAAATTAAAACTTGACTCAAAAAGTTATACCGGACGAGACAAAATTAATATTAAATATTGGTCACCTTTAAAAGCAAGTTACTCTTTTATTTTAAATGGAACACCTAGTATATTATTCCGATATTCAAGGAGGAATTCATGTCTCTTCAAAATATTATTAAGGTTGCCTACCCCTCAAACAAAGATTTTCTTAGATACTTTCATTTTTGAGATTTAATCAGTAAATCTTTATTTATTTGATAAAATCTAGGTGGCTGTGATATGTCTGACGTTACTTTAACATAGCTGTCTATTCTCAAGTTCTTTATCCACACACTCCCCCTCCAGTTTCTTCGTGGTCTTCCTCTTTTATTTCTGCCTCGCGGTGTCCACAGTAAAATTTGCTATGGAATTCTATGATCGGGCATTCGTTGCACATGACCAAATCATATGAGGTGTTTTGTTCTTATGTCGCCCACAATTTGTGTTCTGTTCCCATAATCTTTCTTATTTTGTCGTTTGATATTTTTTTCATTTTAGACTTTCCAGCAGATACTCCACATATGCATTTTAAAATGAAACGATCTGTTGAAAAGAAAATCAATTTATGCAGTTAACAGGAAATGAAGCATTTTGAGCATTTGATTCCATCTAATTAATTTTTGTCACATAATTATAGGTTATCTAGTTTTAACTCTGTAATAATTAAAATATGTTTTAAACGTGTATCTTTTTATTACCGTTGAGTATTTTACTTTACATCCTTTAATTTTTGTTAAATTAACAAAACGTTTATCACAGCCACTCCTAGATTTTTTCAAATAGATCTAGTGACGCAAAATCATAAAAATTAAAATATCTAGAAAAATCTTTGTCTGAGGGGCAGACAACCTTAATAATATTTTGAAGATATATGAATTCCCATTGAATACCGGAATAATATACTGGGTGGTCCATTTAAAATAAAGGAGTAAATTGCTTTCAAAAGTGACCAATGTTTCATATCAATTTTACCTCGCCCTGTATAACTTTTCGGGTCAAATTTTAATTTTTTAAGTTTAATATACAATGGTTATTAGAATTAAATATCAGGCTATACAGGGTAAATTAAAATTTAGGTAGTTGTTAGGTTAGGTTAGGTAATTAAATTTAAAATTTAATCTTCATTTTCACAAAATGTGAAATATTTTGTAAAATGCTTACATTTTAGACATATACTTCTTTAATAAAACTCACCCTTATTTTTTACATAGAATCTGAAAATCAATTAATATATAGGGTGTTCTAGAGAAAATTTCATTTCGATATAAACTACCGTTCTCATTGGAGCCTCCGCGTCGTATGAGAGGCGCCACCCTGTATAAAGCCACAAAAAAAATCTCAATGTAATAAATTTCAATATCATTTTAGCCAATTTCAGTTAAATTTGAAATAGGTTACAGAAAACTCATAAAACTTATTATTATTTTTCTTTAGTGTCATTGAATTAAATAGGCGGGTTCTCTATAATGGCTCTTTTATTAGTTTTGAAGGAAGTTTCAAATTGAATTTTAAAGTTTGCCGAAGTAGCAACATAACACTGTATAATGTTAAAGTTTCCTTTGCTAGTTTCCAACAGTGACTTAATACTTAATCAATAACTCGCCTCTGAATAACCAAAAATATAAAATACTTTATAACTACTTAAATAGTTAGTAACTAAATTCGTTTTTAATGAAGGCTTCAGGCTTCGTATAACAAAATTAATTAATAATAGATAATTTTATATAACTGGTAGAGATAGTATGAGGCAAGCAAATCTTGTACTTCATGATTGTCCACTCTGTATAAAACATCCAGATAAATTTTCTAGAAAAGTTACTTCTTTTGCAAGATTCCAGGGTGACTTAATATTTAATCAATAACCCACCTCTAAGTACCAAAATAAGTTAATTATTATTACAGTTGGGGGTTCGAACATTTGGTGTTAAACAGCAAAATAAAACACTAATTCTCCACAATACCCCAAAACACTTTTATTTTTGAACAACCAGTATAAAAGTTATAAGTGTTTTGGTGTATTGTATTGAATTAAAATAAGTAAAAAAAGACTAAGGAACTAATGTCCTAAATAGTTAGCTACTAGATATGTCTTTAATAAAAATTTATGATTTATAAAATACTGGGGTGCCCGGTGGCGTAGAGGTCTCGTCAGCTCTCGTCTACCGTCTTGTTCTAAACCGGGCTACTCACACGCCTTCTGTCAGTTCGTTTATAATCAAAAAGAGCGGAACACGTTTTTGGTTGAGGTTTAAAAGTGGATAATAGAGAGCAGTTGAGTACTTCACCCAGTATCTTCTTTTTCTTTTTTTCTTTGGTAAGACCATGGATAGAGCTAGCGCTGTATCAACTTTTTGGGGTTTTGACAATATTGACGCCATATTTCCTTCTATTTCTGTAGCGACGTACGAAAGCGGTAGATGCATACTGAACCACGGCCCTATTCACAACACTGAACAGAATACATCCAGGCATGTACGTAGAAAAGCTTCCTAGATTGCTCCGACTGCCCTGCACACTAGATTGCCCCTGCGACAGGCGTATGAGTAGCCCGAGGTTGTGGGTTCGACTCCTACAGCCGGCAGTTCATCAGCAGACTATTTTTAATAAAATAAAAATAGTTTGGGTACCTAAGTCGACTCAGCCTTAAATGAGTACTTGGGATTCACAATCCTGAGGTAATAATAGGCGGTTGAAGCGTAGCGCTAGCCACATTACTTGGCCTTGTATACCGAACGTCTCTAGCATCACAAGCTGTACCTTGCTACTCACTCTCAAGGCGTTAAACGCTATATACGGGTGCTATTATTATTATTATTATTATTTATAAAATACTGTTGAGCTGTATGTACAGGGTGGTCGAAATTGGTCTGTTTTAACAGAGAAACCCTATTTTCTGAATAGTTAGAGGAAAACCGACATAGATGTCATGGGCTCGATTTCTGAGACACGTTTAATGGCATAAACCGCCTGTTGATATTTTCACTGCCAACTGAGATACGGGGTCATTAGTAATTTTTTACCATTTGGAAAATTGGAAATAAAATTTTGCAAAAACATTCTTAAGGCACTTTTTTAAGCACAATTCAGTGACGTAGTCAGTTTTTTTCTATGCTTTCTCTTTTTGTCAGAAATAATAAAAAATAAAATTTTTTAAAAAGAAATCATAGTTGGCTATGAATTTAAAAAAATGCTGTCCTTTAACGCTTTCCAACGATATAAAGTTATGGGTATTTATTTCTAAGAATGAGAGGAATATTAGGGTTTATTATCTTTGTATCGAAGTGGGCCTTGATTTTGTGTTGACCTAGTTGCCTAATAATTTTTTTCCACAATTTAATATTCTATATTATTATTTATCTGCATAATTAAAGACTTTTGAAAAGATAAATCAACATTCTATATTAGTATTACCAATTACAATTAAAACGCCAGGGCTACAACTGAACTATTGAATGGAGAATTTAGAGAGAATCGGATTCGAACAAGGGGTCCCATATCTTGGCCTGCTAGGTCCTGTGATTTAACTTTTTTCGGCTTTTTGTTATGGTGTTAATTAAAAAACCTTATATAAAGAAAAAATTGCAGAAGGCTACTAGGCAAGCTTTTGGACTTATTACATCAGTTCGCCTAATAAATCGCTGTAACTCTGTGCCCAAAAGATGTTTAATGTGTATTCAATAAGGAGGTGCTCAGTTTGAACATCTTAAACGATTTTTTTAGAAAACTATATTCGTCACTCAAAAAATACGTTTTTTAGTTTTGTTCTTTGTTTATTGTATCGATTTCAATTTTAATTACTAATACTAATATAGAATGTTAATTTACCTTTTCAAAAGTCTTTAATTATGCAGATAAGTGTTTACAAAAAATAACTATTTTATTTTGTAAATTTTTTTAAAGTGGTGAAATATCAAGGACTTTTTTGAAGAGATGAATCCGCCACAGAGGTATATAAAGTTTTTTATTAATATTATCTTCAAAAATACTGATTTATACTAGAATATATATTTTGTACAAATCATTATATATATATATATATATATAGAAACTTACCGCAACCCAATTTGTACCATCTTTCCATACAAGCCATCTTTTCTGCCTAGATAATAAATGTCTACTTGTATCTCGCAATTTGACTCCGTTTGTTTCTAAACTACACACTTCACTACATATAAAAAATAAAAATATATAAGTTACAATAAGCTGAAAAGAATTCATGTCGTTCACTATAAGCAAATTTATGCAAAAAGCTAACTGTACTGTCGTTACTGTACACAAATCTTCTGCCGATTGTTTGTTTTACGGACCAGAAATTAGGATGGGTATTATTGGTGATAATAAGAAATATTAGGAACCAACGGTATCATCTAAGTGAAAACTGATATAACGTTAGGGAATTTGTTTTAAAATTTGGTTTAGAAATATGTATTTGGATCATTATGTTAAATAAACAATCAAATCTAATAATTTAAAATTGTAAAATTCAATTTACTTTAAGTATAATAGTTTTCTTCTACAATGAAATATTTTGTATTATGTGGTCACAAAATAGTTGAAATTTGATTTTTATTTTTGTTAGCTGCTGTATAGTAGATACAGAGTAATTAACTGAAAAGTACTTAATTTTAATTTCATGTTACTTGCAGGTTGAATAGTCCAGTTCAAATTAAAATATTAAATTTTGATTACAAGTAAATTAAAAAAAGTGAAATAATGTGCTACATGCAATTATAATTCAAAAATTCAACACACACTCGTCAAAAATATTATAAAAAGATTAATACAAAATCAAGGCCAAAAAGAGTGTAATCTTTTGGCATAGTGAAAAAATTATGAATGACAACCATTTTTTGACCTCCCACGTATCTTGGTTATCTCTAATACCCCAGTCAAAATAAAAAAAGAAAATTCAATTTAGAAAATTGGTACAGGTCTTAAATACACTGTTATAAATGATATCTGAAAAATCCGCACCCCTCCCACGTCTGCTAAAAAAAATATTCAATGTCAAAAGTCAAAAATATGTCTTTTTGCTTTTTTCTCCTAAACACTAAGCGCTACCGCAAAAGTACCTTAAGCAAATGTTGTAGACCATTAAATTTTCTACAATAATGGTTCTTATACTTTTTTCTTACGAACCACCATTCCTGAGATATGGCGATTTCAAAAGCTGAAAAACTCGTATTTTTCATAATATGCACAGATTTCCGCACCACCTGTGAGGTAGTGTATTTGGCGCGTTATTTTAACGTGGTTTTCCCTGTAGGCCTAGTCCACGCGCTATCTATTGTGGTTAAGTTTTATTACACATTATACTATTAATTTTAAAAAACGGTGCTCTTGGTAATGATTATAGTCGAATGGATTATTGTTGATTTTGGGAATTAATGAATTTTAATCTGAGTTCAACAGTAATGTCTGCGTAGACGTATTCAAAAAGATTGACTCTTCTCCACAAGTCATCATCACAAGTGGAATTCGCTTTCCTCTTGCTATAGGTATATGGCGCTCCAAAAAAAAATTGATTCTATAGACAAGTATAGATATTTAAGTTTTGTTAAAAATACTCGGAATAATAAAATGGTACAACTTTATTGTCTTCCTCCAACATCTGCTTCTGCCTGTCAACACTTATATCGTGTATACTATCATGTTCAATTGTGGCTAGGTAATTAACTGAACCCAGTAAACTGGGGTTGGAAATTTATAGATAATACTTTGGAGCTGATTAAAACTTTACTTCCACCTGCTCCAGAAAAACTGCTTAACACAAACTGTGGTTGTAAAAGAGTCGGATTGTTTTGTACACCAATATGTACTAATTGCCAAGGTCAGTCTTGCTCCAATATTGACTTAAATACACATGAGGATTTTGATGAGGAGACAAATGATGTATCTGTCGTAGATGGATTTCCAGATATTCCGCAAGAAGATGAGAAAGTAGAAAGCGAAGAAGACATTACTGTTGAAGTATCATTTGAAGATTACCACTCAGATTAAAATTCTCCAAAAATCAACAATAATCCGTTCGACTATAATCATTACCAAGAGCACCGATTTTTAAAATTAATAGTATAATGTGTAATATTTTGTATGTGTAATATAACTTAACCACAATAGATCGTGGATTCTGCCTACAGGGGAAACCACATTAAAAAAACGCGTCAAATACACTACCTCACAGGTGGTGCGGAAATGTGTGCATATTATGAAAAATACGAGTTTTTCAACTTTTGAAATCGCCATATCTCAGGAATGGTTCGTAAAAATGTATAAGAACAATTATTGTAGAAAATTTAATGGTCTACAACGTTTGTTTAAGGTACTTTTGCGATAGCGCTGACCGTTTAGGAGAAAAAAAGCAAAGAAACATATTTTTGCCTTTTGACCTTGAATAATTTTTTTAGCAGACATGGGAGGGGTGGGGATTTTTCAGGTATCGTTTATAATAGTGTATTTAAGACCTGTACCAATTTTCAGCTCTATGAGAATTATTGTTATTTAACCCTCTTTTTTTTGTTTATTTTGACTGGCGTATAAACTTATCAGTTTCATAGGCTCATATACTTTTTTACGTAAAATTTACAGGGTGTCCCATTTAAAAAATATAAGTTTGACTCATATTTCGAAAATGACAGCTCCCAGCGAAAAACCAGTAACGGCACTGGAATCTACTTATAACTTTTTAGTTTTTATCTTTTCGATAAATTATATTATGATCGAAATACGATGGGGGTCGAAAAATACAAAATTTTCAAATTCGCCCTGTATTTCAGGAACCAAAATGGCTAAGACAAAATGGCCAAACCAAACCAAACCAAATTACAATCTATGTGTAGTGAAATCCGCATTTCAATTTTTACTTAAAAAGAGGTTAACTTAAAATACTCAACTTTGGATAACTAACAAACATGATATTTTAAGTGTTTAACCAGTCATATTTTTTGTATTTTTTATTTCAAAAACTCACAGAGAAAACTACTATAAATTTTTAACCATCTAGAAATTCCATTTGATCCAACAAAGGCGCTATTGCTTTTTGTGGGGAGCGAAAATACCGCAATGCTGAAGATCGATGGTGTAAGTACGCTTATGTAAGAATGTAAATTTTTCTAAAGATGCTATAATCCGCCCTCCCTTCATAAACGTCTAACATACAGTGGACTGTAAATCACAATGTGTATTGACTCATATCTTTTCAAATTCGCCCACTTGACACTAACAAAAAGACACAATATAAGGAAGGGTTTTAAGAATATAGCGTGTGTTGCATCGCCGACCTGGACATCGCCGAAATTGTTCATTTTGAATGGTTTATACGAATTTGTTCTTGAATTATGAGAGATTCAAAAATACTAAATTAGGCGAAAATTTAAAATAATGCGGTCCTAATCAAACAAACATATAAGTTATGTCACAGTATGAAAAATCTATTACGATTTTCTTCTACAATCTGTCAAAAATATTCTCAGTTATATTCTCTTTAAAAAGTTACAAAAAGTACACTGTAAACATACGAGAATCTTTTAAAAATCAAATATAATTTCGTAGTTAAGTAAATACATTGCTTAAAAACAAAATTTATTTATGAAACACTAAACAATTCACAAAATTAGGTACTTGTTAATAATTAAAAAATAGATAAAATTTGCCCTATGTCCTTCACCCTAGTCCAATAATTCTTGATGTTATATTATGTTTATATATTGTAGTCGGAATATTTAAAAGACTTAAAATTATGCTTCTTCAAATTCGCCAAGTACTTAGTGGTACGATGTTTTTCGACTATTTCTCCGAGTATTCTGGTACTTCTTGGTTTTTATATTCCACTCATACCTATCATATACACTGATGGACATACGAATTGAGTCACTATTGTAACAGTCAAATATTTTATCAATTTCTAACTGGGTTTCCTAACTAAATCGCCGATTTTTTAGTGTATTTTTACTGTTCGAACTATTGTCTTATTTATGAGATAATTCAGTTCAATTATTTCATTGACCGAATGAAGCGTATGGAAGTGGTAGATTATTTACAGTCTAGTCTCAATGTTTAGTTAGTCACTTAGTCGAATAAGTAATTTGTACATTTGAAGTTCAGGTTAGATGCACAGTTCGAATTTAGTGTTGTTTTGTTTAATAGTAACACATTTTATTTATATAGAGTCCATAGAGTATACTCTCGTGGCGCCCTATATAATTCTTTAAACCCCGACCAACTTTGTGTTTAATTGAATTTCAAATTTTAAAGGCGCCGCAATCTTGGCGCCCAACGTGGGGCAATTATAGTACCCACTGTGCTATGTTTTGTGGCATCATATTTCTTGATTTGCTTTATGCATTTTAAATATTACTTCTTAATTTATCCTAATTTAAAATATAAAACTTTGCTACGCCACTGTGTAATACTTAAGAAAATATCTGATACTACAAAAAGTAGCACAAATTATAGTGTCTCGTTTCGTATGCCCGCCAGTGTATAATAATTCACCGTGAAATAAAAGCACTTTAGTTGTTTTGTGTAAAATATTAAAATTAGCCAATATTAAATTTTCTGGAAATTTGAAGTGACCTGCAAAAAACTAAAAAAAATACGCCAAATAAAAAGAGAAAAAGTGACAACATTTTCCAAAGCTATTTGTATTAAAGCCGACAACTAACTTTTGATTAACTTTTGAAACTAGCCCTACGAGAACGAAGCTGTATGATTAATGGCCTTTATCAAATAGATGAATGTCCCACCCCTGCACAATATACTTCCAAGTAAAAATTAATATATCAAAGTTAATGTACAAACTAGACATATTATGAGAATATTAAACTTGGTGATAAAATATGTTTGCGATATTTACACCAATATTGCATAAATATACAAGGAGACTATAGGTTACATTAGAATTTTGAGGTGGTTATCGGTCTGTTCCACTGTTCCTCTACTAATCTCTAGATTACATTCTCCATTCCAATCGATTTCAAAAAATCTAACAACATGAAGACTGAACTCTTCATATTGTATCAGTTCTGTGGTAATACTGTATTTCATATTAATCCTTATAAATCATCTATTTTTTTTTCATCCAACGCAATGTATACTAATACAAATAATACTTGCAATCAATATTTTATCAGCTGTATACACAAAATAATAAGGTTCCCAAATAACATGACAAACTGATTTTGAAAACGGATTAAATATACCATTATTTAATGCCTAACCTTTTTGTTTATTTCCTGTGGTTTCGTTTTAAGCTTTTGTTTTCCTGAACGTTGACGATGTTGAGAGACAGTTTTAAGCTCGTATTTCAATGTCCAAAAGTTCCTGTTTTGTTCGTCCAGTGATTATATTTCATGTTTTGTAATTTGGATGTATTAAAATACATGTGTAAAGTGTTAACAAAATCATTTAAAAAACAATCAGTTTTGTTAGAAGCTCCCCCTTTTTGGTTTAGAATGCTTACCAAATATTATTTGAAAGCACTTAAAAATTGTGGCGTGTTCAATAGAAATAATGCACAGATTTAGAGCCCAATCAATCCGAGGTACTTGAGGGTAAGTAAGACCTCAAGTTCGTTTCAACTTAAATTTGTGGGCAGTTATTTACGATACCTAATGGATTATTAGGAGCTCATTTCTTCAATAAACATTTAACTGGAGCAAAATATCTGCAATCTTTGACACATTTTAACAGACATAGAGGTTTCAGGGCACGACGGGGATACACAACACAACACTAAAGCAGTTGCCTAAACCAAAAATTTAGTAAAGTTATAAGCCAAACATATTTTAATGTCAACTCTGATGTCAAGTTGAAGGAAAATGGGTAACAATGAATGAAACTGTTCATATTTGTAATTATAAGCTATAAACCTGCGTGACGTGAGCTGTTAATTGCTGAAGATCGCGAAGTTACAAATTTAATTTAATTAAAATTACAAAAAAAACATTATACAGGGTGGCGCCTTTCATACCGACGTGCAGGCTCCAAGGAGACCAACAGTTTGTGTTAAAATGAAATTTTGTTAGCATATGTAGGATGGCTTAGAGCATTTTTTAATATAGATAGTCTACTAGATCTTCTACAGGGTGTCCTCAAAAAAAGCTACACATTAAAGTTATGTTTTTTGTAATGGAACACCCTATATATTAATAGATTTTCGGATTTCAGGAAAAAAATTAAACATAAGTTTCATTAAGGAGGTATGTGACTAAAATGTAAGGTTTTTGAAATATTTAACATTTTCTAAAAATGAAGAACAATTTTTAAATTTTAATAAAGGCTATCTAAATTGGAATTTAACCGGTATAGCCTAAACTACTTAAACTCAAATTAAAACTTGACCCAAAAAGTTATACACAGTGAGACAAAATTATTTTTGAACATTTGTCACCTTTAAAAGCAAGTTACTCTTTTATTTTGTTTCTTAACACCCAGTATATTGTTCCGATGTTCAATTGGAAATTCATGTATTTTCAAAATACTGTTAAGGTTGCCTACCAATCAAGCAAATATTTTCCTAGATATTTTCATTTTTATGATTTAGCGTCACTAGATCTTTATTATTTGATAAAATCTAGGTGCCTGTGATATGTCTGGCATCATGGTACAAAGAATACAAGGTATGATATTGCGCAGGTTGGTTGCTACGTCACAGGTGATAACAGGCGCTATTGGTCAGCACGCCTCGCGCGACAGTTCAAATCGTCAAGATATTGTTATAAACCTGTTTTTTGGTTTATATACCGTCATTGAATTATCGCTAAGCAAGTTACTGTGGAGCAGTGCATAAGGAGTCGGGCTAGGAAGCAAGAGACCGGAGTTCGAATCTTGGTCGGTACATAACTTTTTATTTATTGTTTTAAATACTGTTGTATGTTGTATTCTATAGTTTATTTTTGTAGGATAAAAAAAGAACTATTTATTCTGTGATTTTTTAATCTCCGGTATTAATATAAATTGATTGTTGGTACAATACCTCATTTAATATAAAATAATATTCTACTTTTTGAAATGTATCGGGCCCTAATTGTGCCTAAAAGTAAAATATATTTTTAGTGATATACCATATTGTAAACTATTTAATATTTCAGTCACTTAAAAAGTTAATTTGCATTGAATAATTGCCTACCATTAAAGGAAATTTGAGCTATATAATCCTTGATGCGCATCTTCCTCTAAATTTTGGGTTTCGTTCAACCGGTTTATTCTCAAAACCTGAAACATCTACATATAAAAAGAAGCACAAGTCACTTATTATAATAAACTTCACCCTTGGAATTACTTCCACTAATTATAATAAACTTCACCCTTGGAATTACTTCTATCACAATTACAATACATTCATCTGCATTGGCATTTTCTACTGTTCGATGGGAAACAATAAACTTTCCAACATTTTTTAAATGATGTAACAATTTCTCTTGTGGTTACTTTTCCATAGATATCCTCATCTCTGTCCTCATGTGAATTCAGAGGCAATGAACATGAAAATTATTTACTATAAACATCGCAAACTAAAAACCTAATAAACAATTTTATACCGAATATAGAAATAAATTTAGTATTCTTACCTATTATCGTCCAAATCCATGTTAATAGATAATTATTATTCTTAAATATATTTTTGGAACTGCTGGTTTTAGTAATTATTAAATTAAACAAACCAAAAAGTCTTAAAAATAAACAATTCTTAACCATAACCCCAAAAAATACAGATCTCCTGTCAACTTTCTTTATTTTTTATTTATTCATTGTTTTCCTAGTGACGTCACAGGTGGTATGCGCGAACTGAACGAAATTGGAGCCGCTATCGATCATACCTTGTATTCTTTGTACCATGGTCTGGCATTACTTCAACATAGGTGTTAAATTAGTTAAATTTTAACAACTGGTAATCAGTTTTTGTCAGTTAATAAAAAAAAATCTCAGAAATTCGCCGAAAATGGAAACTTATCCTATATTAGAGAGAAATGATATGATTCTATTAGTTGGTAAATGCAGGGTGCATTCACGAACTGATATATGTTATATGATGATGAGATATATTGAAAAGAGTGTTTACAAAACTCGACCAACTATTGTCGACAACATGAGAGTCAGTCAAAGTCAGTAGCCCACATGCGTTTTTTGAAAAATATTCCAGTGATAACTCATATGCACGTCCCTGATGAATTTATCGACACTTCTTTAGCATCAAAATATGTAGCACTTATGGTAACTTTTACGTCAAAATTTCATTCGAATCACTAAAAGTACTTGGAAGAAAATTATAATAAATCGAAATATTATTAAGATATTAACACCCTGTAGCTGCGAAACGAAGCAGAATCGGACGTATCTAACTCGACTTTGTTTTATGTGTTTTATTTCTGAATTATACAGGGTGTCCCAGAAATAAGTGCAAGTATTTTGACTGGTAGTATAGTTCAACCCCAGAAATACGCCTATGAAGTTTTTTTCGCGAAAATATTTTGAAAATTTCACACCTCTACTTTTCAACCAATAACATGCTTTAATGTTGACTAGTTACCATGGCAACTGAAAAAATTTCCGGAAATTTTTTCGAGGCGCCACGAAACTTTAGTGGAAATTTTTTGACAGTTGAAAAGGTAAACATAAGATCTACAATCATAATGTGAATGAACTACAATGTCTATATATTGAAATATTACCCATTTGAGTTTTAGCAATACCTTGGCCAACTTAACAAATTGAAATTATTTTAAAATGTCATGTTGGATTAATATTTTTTTTTCAAATTTAGGTGTGAAATTTTCTTACCGAATACCACGCAAGCTTAAATTATTCCTGGAAATTTTCTTTCGGGCACGAATATTTTAGGAAAATTATCCCTCGTCTTCGACTCGGGATAATTTTCAAAATATTCGTGCCCTCAAAAAAATTTCCGAAAATAATTTAAGCTCTTGTGATATTATAAGTGAAAATTCGAAATTTTTGGAAAAAAATTTTCGAAATTTTTTTAGTTTTTAGTTAAAAAACATAATTTCCTGATAATATGGCAACATAGATATTAGATTAAATTTACAAGAAAGAAAATCCAGAAAAGATTCAGTGGTTCTCAAAATTTTAGCGAAAAATATTTTTTTTTTGGAAATTTTCACAGTAAAATAACTCCGTTATTTTAGACTTATTTGAAAAACGATAAAGAGAAAATATGTTTCTTTTATCGAGATCTACCACCCGTTAAAATACTTGCACTTATTTCTGAGACGTATGTATGATATTCCTAGAATAGTAAAAAAATCCTTGATTTAAAGATTCTCACGGTATAAAGGTTTTAAAGTAGAGTAATAAATCATTCTTTTACAATATCAACGACAAATTAGAGCAGCCTTTTCACTTTTAAAGACGATACGTTTTATTGGACATATTTCAATTTACAGCGTTACGTGCCCCCTTGCTTCCCCTCTCCTTCTTCACTCCACCATCCTAAACCAAAGATGGATGAGCTCTGATCGGTTGCCGGACACCTTTCCCGATAGAGTTGGCACTTGTCGGCTAAACTTTTGAAAAACTCCCCCTTCCATACCCCCGGACGCGAAAACAAAACGAATCTATTCAATCGGGGGATGTCGACGGATGAGGAATCGTTTCCTGTAGGAGACCGGTCGGGACATGGAGAGTGGACGCGAGCGTCTTTTGTGACGGATGAGGTGTTGGAGTGGATAAGTGAGCTTAAATTGATGATGTTGACGGACGATGACAAAATTCAGAAATATCTGGTCAAGGCTAACAACTAACTGTGTATACATAGGCACTGATTCTCTACGATTTAGATCGTCAATATATCTTACAAGGATTTCTTACGGGTATATATGGCAAATAATGTTGACGTCATTATTTGGAGAGCATCAAAATTAATTTCAGGTTTTTGAGAGTTGATTAAATTTAGTCTAGCCCTCAAAATATACCGTGCTGGCAACTATTACTTTTGGGTCGACATTTACATGTGTGGAAGTAAATCGCATAGGGATCTTATTAAGTCGGAGTGAAAGAAATGCGACCGACCGACGCGACACGCGACGGTGTGCTGTTGCGGCGTTGCCAATACGCCTTTCCTTATCAAGTAAAGTAAAATCACGATCGCAAACCGATTATTTTTAAAAGATTTTTTTTTCAAGAGATAACTAGATAAAATCATTAGACACTTTTCTGAGCATCTGAAATGGAATTATAAGGATATCGTTAGTGTGTCATTTTTTTATAACGAGAAAACGTCAGTAATCGCGATAATTTAAAAACTCAACTTTTTAACACATAACAGGCCATAACTCAAGAACCACTTTAGATATTGAAACTATTTTTTATTTTCAAGATCGGATATTTTACAATATGTTTACATAAGAAAAATTCGATAAGGTTGGTTTTCCATTCAAAAATTGTAAACAATCCATCCATTTACTTTTAGAGCATAGCAATTTTCAGCAATCGTGTAATTTTTTTATTGATAAAGATTTTCACATATTGTCTATAAAGAAAATTCAGCAGAAATATTAACAAAGTTTTTGAAAAAACTACAATCTATTATTTCTAATAGATATCGAGATATCGATTTTTGAATTCAGAGTTCTAATAGCGCGACCACTATCGAACACCCACTCAGTTCCACTTATTTTTAACAAAAATGCAAGTGTTTCTAGCTTGCACTTAAAAAAATTCAAGCTCTAGGGAAAATTACAACGACTCGTTAATAAATAAACAAATTAAGTATCACGAGACGTAATTAAATCGTGAAGCTGAACGCATGACGTACACCTTTCTCTAGAACTATAAATACTGACAGAGGTATTGATTGGATCGACCGGTCAACTGCGACAAATCTGCTATATCTCCTTCCACATCTCTTAGCGATGTGCACAGTTTCTCCGTTTATTTCATACGTTTGGCAACGTGTTTACTGTTCTATCTTTGTTCAGTACATTATAAACGCATTGTACTCTTCTTACATACGGAAATCTCGACCCAAGACTAACCTTTGCCAGCCCTTAGTATATTTAACTAATTTAATATTATAGTTTTTATTTCCATAATCACCATGACTATCAACAAACGACTGAATAGTGATTATAGAGTTTTCAAGTATACCACGATATACAGGATGGTGCACCTGCTCAGTCGCCTCGGTTGATTATACGAAAACGGAAAGATGTAGAAACAAACAATTTTATGGGTATATGTTTGAACGTAATGTGCATAATTTAAAATTATTTTGAAATGCACAGGGTGTGTCAAAAGTAAGATTCATACCATAGTTATATTTTTTCTTATGGAATACCCGGTATTTTATATCATTTTTGTATTCTTGGACAGAAAATAAGGCATTTATTATAAAGGTTTAATATGTTTAAAAGCTTTGGTTTTTGAGATATTTAAATATGCATGCTATAATAAAAAAGTTTGTCAACGCCTTGTACATTACTTTTCGGAATTAATTCTTGTGCTGACTTGAAGCCAGACAAATAGACTTGCCAGACAAAAAATGATTGCTTCCTAAAATGTATACAGGGGTATCAAAAATTGCTGGTCTATTTTAAATATTTATTTTACATAAAAACTTCGTTATTTCAAATGCAACACTATGTATTTTTTAAAATAAGTCGAAGCAGATTTAAATGCTCGTTCAAACTATATTAGGGTTTCCAATACCTATCTGCATTTGGCAAAACATAGACGCACAAAATCTCATTCAAAAAGGAATAACGGTTCTTAAAACATCCGATATGTTTATTTTTTTTAAAGTTTGATGCCCTCTAGCGGACAAACAAAGCATTTTTGTATAGAGGTAAATTGTGTCCAATGAACTTATTTTGATTCCAAAAATACGTAGTAGTTCTATGTCCACGGAATATTAGGACACCCTGTATAGAAAAGGATAATAAATAAATCTCTTTTAAAACGCCAACGACAAATTAAATCAACCTTTACCTTCAGAAACAATACATTTTATTAAACATATTTTAATTTACAGTGTTACTTTTCCCTTGCTTACTCTTCTTCTTCCTCAATTCGCTATCCAAAACCAAAGATGGATGAGCCCAGATCGGTCTGCGGACACCTTTCCTGATAGAGTTGGCACTTGTCGGCTAAACTTTTGAAAAAGTTCGCTTCGATACCCCTGGCGCTGAAACAAAACGAATATATTCAAACTACGAGTATTCAATCGGGAGATGTCGATAGAGGAGGAGGAGGAGGTCTAGTAATTCGATGCTCTATACTGCAAATTCTATCACTCAATGCTATCAATGTTATATCTATACTAATATATAAAATCCTTAAGTGACAGGTCGATTCTAGGGTGTAGAGGTTCGATAAGAAGCGATTTTTCGAAATTCCAGTTCCAAGAGGGTGAAACCACCCCTCAAATATTACAAGATTTTTTATTTAAAAAACGGTCAAGTTTCCGAAAAAACGCTTAAACACGTATATTTTATTTTGTTTTTTTACATATTTTAAGATTTTTTAAAAATGTATACAGGGTGTTTTGAAAAATCTGGTCATTGATTAATCACGGTCCTGCTTAAAGCGCTTGACGTAAAAAGCTGATTTTTGGAAAACAGATTGACTTTAGGGTGTACAGGTTCGATAAGAAGGGATCTTTCAAAACTCGAATTCTAAGGGGGTGAAACTATCCTTCAAATATTAAAATATGTTTTATTTAAAAACCGGTGAGTTTTTCGGAAAGACTCTTAAACACGTATATTTTATTTTGTTGTTTTACATATTTTAAGATTTTTTATAAATTTATACAGGGTGTTTCATAAAATATGACCATTGAGTAATCACGATTCTGCTTAAACTGCTTGACGTTTAAAGCTGATTTTTGGCAAACGGATTGACTGTGGGATGTAGAGGTTCGATAAGGAGGGGTTTCTCGAATCTCAAATTCCAAGAGGGCGAAAACGCCCCTCAAATATTCCAATATTTGTTATTTAAAAAACGGTTAGTCTTTCGGGAAAACGCTTGGACAAGCATAATTTATTTGGTTTTTTTACATATTTTGAAATTTTTTAAAAACTCATACAGGGTGTTCCAAAGAGTTGGGTAATTACTTAACCACGATTCTGCTTAAACTACTTGACGTAAAAATCTTATTTTTGGCAAACGGATTTTTCGAAACTCAAATTCCAACGAGGTGAAACTACCTCTCATATATTACCAAGTTATATAATAATATCGCTATATTGTTTTTCTCATGCTTACATAAATGTGAGAAAATTTTATCCAGTTTGTATGTTAATGGAAATTCTTGATTTGCTTTATCATCACCATTACAAATGATTAATCCGACGCGAACGAAGTTGCTGGTACACGTTAGTTATTAATATTACTCTATTTTGCTTGTTGACACAGTTTTCTTTTTTCACCTACAATAATTGGTGTTTTTATTCTCAAATTAATTTTTCAAATTATCTTGATTTTTTGTGTCTGATCTCATTCTTGAGCCGCCTTGTAAAACTCAAATTTACCTTTACGTAGTAGTCTAAGAGTTAGCAACATTTTCGAGAAAGTATTTTAAGAAAGCTGGATCTTTGATATATCTTTTAATATGTTCTCTGGAACAGCATGCGGACCGTCTGGCTACACGTTGCGTTCGCTACTGCGCATCGAAAAAAGATCCTATATTTTTTTTATTTAGTCCGTTAAATTCTAGTATTGAATATAAATCGAGCAAGTCTCCACAGCACCAGCGCGGCGCGCGGAAGTTCAGCCTATGAAGCGAGAAATCCGAGTTCGAGACCGGCTCGGGTTAAAAACTTTTTTATTTTATTTTCATTTATGTTCTGATAGTAAAGTATTAAATATTTGTTTTTTGAACCACCAGAATTATTTAATCTTTTACTATCACAATATAAACGAAAGTAAGTCTTTCAGTTGTAGTTCATACACTCGTGTGGACAGGTAAACTGTATTTTTTGTGATTTTTTAAGTCGTCTGTCGAAATTGTCCCTAGCTTGTTGGACAGACTTAGATTCTCCAAAATTGAGAAAGATAATAATAATAAAGGAAACTCTTATCATCAAAAATATTTATTTTAACTCCTCCCAAATATCCTATAATAAGCATTATTCACATAGTCTGAAATAGGTTTCCTTATACTTTCTTTCAAAGTGTATTCGCCACATACATAACATAAAACAATAGGATAATAATTTATCCAGTTATGTCTGATGGGGATGCAAGTTCAGTGTTTCAATATTAACCTATATGCTAGAACTCCACGTTATTACCCACAAAAGCTCAATAACATACTGATCCGGGTAAGACAGAGATAGACAGAATATAATATGGGCCTAAGGGGAGATTAAGGGATTATTATTGAAGGATTATTAAATAAATAAGAAGTTCGGGGTTGAATCAGGGATAACATCTGGTATAACTGGTTAATAAGATTGTAATTTAATGTATTTATAATTATTAATAAATCTAAAATTAGAGAGTAGTAAATTAATTATAGGGTAGTTAGTATCAAATATTATATTCTCAATATTTTTTTTTAAATTAAACAACTTATACCTTTCATAATTTTCTAATAGGCCTTTTTTCATCACTATCTATATCGCTGAAGTGACTTAAAACTATGTGATATATTATCAAATATATACCGGGTGCTCTAAAAAAAAGGGTGTCCCAAACGAGATTTGGTATGTTAGTATATGACATAAATTAGGATTGATTGGCGTATTCAATTGTTTTCTGTTTCACCGGAAACTACTACGACTTTTGATTTTTAAATAACACCCTCGGCATTTTTTTATTTTATCCGATAGAAAATGACACTCTGAACTCTGAATAGAATGACATATCATATGTCAACTTTTGACATTTCTGCATATGGTTTGTTTGATATTGTAACATGCGGTTCATAATGATAATTTGACTAGAAATTACCAAGTATTGGTACCAAATTATTCGTAGAAAAATGCTTTATCCAAATATGCTAATGACCCACCCTTGTTCCATTTGAAAGAAATTGAGATATGATTAAAAATACGATTTGGCATCTTTTAATAAGCCAGGACAAGACACCAAAAATAACCGACGATGAAATCTATTTTTCCAAGGCTCCTTGATTAAAAACTAGTGTTTTTAACACAGTCAAGGCACTAGAAATTGAAATTAAAAATACGATCATTTTTTAAGCGAATTACAAAAAAGACATTGATTATAGTGTTTTTGTAGTATGGAAAATATTTCTGCGTCGAACGTTATTTATCTAATATTCTAAGTTCTTTTATGAATGTATATTTCCAGGAAGCAAGAATCCTTAATAAACTATCTTGCTTTAGGACGGAACTATCAGGCAAACTTTTGTAGAATTCTTTTAACTGTGTTTAATCATATAAAGTGCTTTTAACCAAAGTGGATTTCTGAAAATCATAATGAAATTCTCTACGGGAGTCGGTTCACCAATATCTGTTTGTATCACATGTTGTGATGTAAAAGTTGAAAATGAATTTGAAATCAGCCATAAAAATATATAAAATTAATTTAATAAAAATAGATAATTTAGAACTTTAATCTTGGCTCTTACTACATTATACACTTTTATTACAAAACTGCATATTTTTCAATGAAATCTTTTAAAATTTTGTTATAGATTCTCCGTTCTAATCTACTTTCTACATTTCCCCTTAGGGAGTTTATTTACATCCATAATACAAAACTAATTTGATTATAATTTGTCACAATGCTCTTTTTTATTGGATTACTGATTGCTGATATATTTGCCTCAGTTTAAACAACCACATGATTCGTAATTTATTTATTTCTTGATGGTATAATTAATTTTTGGCAATTTTAGTGCCTAGAACTACTAAAAAATGCTTTCCACTTGGATAATAAAATTGCAGTTTTCTTATTTCTTGGAACTTCATAGCTTACATGTGAATTAACCAAATATTCTATTTTGCTAAGGCTCTTATGGAGGCCACCCATGTTATATTCATTATAGGATTGGTGCATTTCAATTGATTTCAAAAAATTCCGACCGCAGCGCTGTATACGGCAGAAACCAGAAATTTTGGCTACGTATTTCACGCCGCGCCGCGCGCGCCGTCCCGGTTACAGTTCATGTTGATCTTATTAAAATAATATTGAAATCGTGGCTTTGTCATGATATTTAAGTATTTTAGTTTTTTGCTAGTGCATATTAGTGCAAAACACTGAGGTACGAGATTTGTGTGATGTAACGCTGTTTCGGGTAGGCGTCGTGTTGTATTGTGACAATTTCAAATGTTAATAAAATTGCCGAAAAAATGTTAACTCGTAAAGGAGGGCGTAATTAGGACGTTGTTGGGTGCAATAACATTCAATAACTCAACTTTCTCGGATATTCAACTCTCCTGAAACAACATTTTATAGCTTCATAGTTTCTCACACCGATTTGATCAAAAGCAAAAATGGATTCAAGCAGTTCGACCAAACAAGTGAGTAAACAAAGTGCTCGTTACATAATCAAAAAAATTAAATAGACATATACTGTGAGAGGATAAAATATAATTTGCAATATTAATGGTAACACTAATGATTAAATGTTTTATGAGCATCATCTAAAATTATAATTATATATACACATTTAAAACATCGTTATAGCCGATATAGCCCCAATTATGACCCCACTAGCAAAACCGGTGCGTAAAACTATGCTCGGTACCATAGTTGAACTCATCTAAAAATTTTTTTTAGCTGGAATAAAAAAATATAATACAAGTTAGATCTTCCGAAAATATCAAAATCTTTACTTTTTTATTTTTAGAATTTTCACAAATTATACTTCCTAACACTTTACAATATAATACATTTTTCGTTACTCGCTATTTAAACACGTGTATTTGTATACAGGGTGGTACGAACTGTATTCCAGAAACTTCAGCAGCATATTCTGCAAATCAAAATAAATAAAAAAGTTCGTATAAAAGTATGTCCTATAATGCTTAGTTTCGGAGATACAGGGTGTAGAAGTTTCATTTTTATTTCAATTTTTTCCAAATAATTTCTGAAGTAACGTCAATATTTTGATGAAAATTGATATCTGGGAGTTTTTTGACATGAGAAATTTGATTTTGATGTGACCCCTACTTGTTGAGGGCGCCACCTACATGTGTTTTAACTGTTTTGAAG